GAGTGAGCCGAGGACCGCGCCTTGCCCGCCTGCTTGGGCGCCTTACTGGGGAGGGCTGGGGGCGCCGAGGGGCTGGCCACAGGGGCAGGGGCGGCCTCGTCGTCTGAGCTGCAGGAAGAATCGTCTGTGGTGGATGATGACGACGACGATGACGACGATGACGACGACGACGACGACGACGATGACGACGATGACGACGATGACGACGACGACGACGATGATGATGATGACGATGACGAGGAGGAGGAGGAGGAGGAGGAGGAGGAGGCCCTGGAGCTGGAGGCGGTGCAGTCCCGGCCCCCACCGCCCTGGCCTTCTTCCTCCCCCTCAGTCTCTGAACTGCTCCCACTGCCGCTGTCACTGCTGCTGCTGCTCTCCGACTCCTCAGCCCCGTCCTGCTCGGCCTGGCCCTTGTCCGGGCTCTTAGGGATCCCCGAGTCCTCGAACGTGAGCACGGCCCCCGGCTCCTGGGCCAGGTCCCCGTCCCCAGCCTTGGGCCGGGCGGCCTTGGGTTCGCTGCCGCCCGCGGCCTGGGCGTAGCTGCCCAGCCCCAGGAGGCTCTTGGGCTCAGGCCAGCCCCCGGCCCCGGGCTCCTCCCGCAGCAGCAGGGCCTCTTTGGCCTTCTTGCTTTTGGGAGACGTGACTCCCTCATGGTCCAGCTTGACAAGCAGCTCGGCCTCCTCCCCGGGCCTGCGGGCACCCTTACTGGCCGACTCCTCCGCAGCCCGTGCCTTCTTGGGCTTGGGGCGGGTGGCAGGCATGGTGACGGGCACGGCAACGAGGGGCGTGGGGGCCAGGGCTGGGGTGGGGGCTGGCAGCTCCCCAAAGGTCTCAGGGGCCGGGCAGCTGGTGAAGGTGGGCGGTGCTGGGCTGGGCTGGGGCAGTGCTGGGCGAGCTTTGGGGGCTTTGGCCCGCTTGTCCACGGGTTCTGGAGGGCTCTTCTTAGAACTTGGGGTGTTGACTGGCTCCAGGGTCAGCGGGGCATTGGGGACCTCTTCCGTTGGGCCCCCCTCTTCCAAGACGGCGGCTCTGTCTGGAAGAGAGGAGGAGGGAGCACAGGTGAAGGGGGGGCCTGCCTCCCAACCTGAGAGCGCCTGGAACCGGCTCTGGCAGCTCCTGAGGCGGCTGTGCACAGCACCCTCTGGGCCTGTCCCACAGACGTGGCCCCAAGGTAGTCCTGGGGAGCCTGGACTCAACTCCAAGCACTTTCTCCAGACTCTGGAACAAACACCCTGGCTGAGTCCTAGCCCTGCCTCTGACAAACGTGCCTCGTGAGCCTGTTTCCTGATCTGTCACAGTGGAGAGCAGTCTCTGTGCAGAAACCCATGAATGCAGCAGGCCCCCCATGCCCCTCTTGACAACATACCACCCTTGGCTTTGGTGCTGGGTTTCCGCCCGCGCCCTCGCGCCTTGGCACCGGGCTCCTCAGACCCTGGCGCGGCTCCATCTTTGCCATCCCCAGTGTCTTTGCTGGTCTTCCGGCTGCGGCGCTTGGTGCTTGGCACCAGGAGGGCCGGGGATGGCTCGGCACCTGCAGGCAGGACAGACAGTGGTCAGGCCTGGACCCCCACCCTCCTGGCCTCTGGAGGGCCACCTGTCATGAGAGCAGGGATGGGGAGGAAGTGACGACACCATGGAGCTGACCCTCCTCAGCCTGCCTGGATGGCTGTGTGGTTGCAAGGGCCTGGGGGGTCAGCCAGGCTTGGGGAGCGGCCAGTTTTGGGGGTCAACCAGGCTCGGGGGGCAACTGGGTGAGAGCCTGGAGGTCAGCCAGGCTCTGAGGGCAGCCGGGAGGGCAGCCTGGGGGCAGCCGGTAGGGGCATGGGACCACTCACACTGGATCTTGTAGTCGGGGGGCAGGAGGCGGATGTGTGAGAGGGGAATCCTCCCTGTGTCTCCATCATCGAACTCCACAGTGATGAGGTCTCCGTCGTCCTCGAGGCCCAGCAAGCCTGTTGGAGGAGGGGCAGGTCAGGGGAGCCTGCAGACTGAGATGGCAGGAAGACAAAGGGGCAGAAGCAGCCAGCTCAGGGGTCTGAGGGCAGGCGGTGCAGAATGCGGGCTCAGAGCCACAGTGCCAGCCATCCCAGCAGAGCATGTCTCGACTTCCAGGGGTGTGGGCCTCTGCCCACTCATTCCCGAGACACCTCCAAAGGAACACAAAGAAACTGCAAGGACAGAGGGGGTAGGCAAGTGGACGGGGACACGTGACAATGCCACCATTTCAGAAGATGACATCTGCGTGCACGAGAGGGAGCAGACTTTGGTCTTGGCTTTCTCTGCTCTGTCAGGGGCCTGTAAGGAAGTGATGCCACCAAGGTCACCAGCTTTCACAAGGGAACCACAAAGACTCAGGCCCTAGAGGCGCCTAGGACACCTGGGGGAGGAGTGCAGGGGACCACAACTGGACAGGCTGAGGGTCACATGGCAGCAGGAGTTGGGAGTTCACACCTGGAACTGAGAGACTCTGAAGGACGGGCACAGCGGAGGAGGGCAGTTGGGTGCTACACCAGTAGGTGGCCGGAAGTGTGCACACTGCACAGTAGCCTCCAGCCCCATTCCCAGTGCCAGACGCTCAGCCCAGGCCCCCAGGCTGATGGAAGAAGAGCAGCAGGTGCTGGTACCTGGGTCCCCGGAAAACAGCCCTGCCTGCCACTGTCACGAGTCCTCCCTACCACAGATCTTCCAATCCACCTGCTGAGGATCAAAGGGTCAGCCCCTAACGTCAGACAGACAGATACGGGGCTGAGGCGGGAACCCGGAGAACAAACTCAGAGCCCAGAGAGGGGAAGGAAACTCCGGAGGAAAGGAAGCTGAAGAAAATGAAAACAAAATCAAGGTGTCCTTGGAGAAACCAAAAGCGGTAACGTATCCGCCAAACAAAGCGTTGGTTAAAAAATGAAATATGCGCAGAATAAGAAAGAATTCCTAGGGGTTTTAAAAATGGTAGCAGATGTTCCAAAATTTCAACAGGACGGAAGGGCCAGAAGGTACAGTTGAGGAGATTTCCCCAAAAGTTGAGCAGAAAGATAAAGAGACAATAATAGAAGAAAAGGCAGAAGCCTCGAGGGCCAGCAGAAGGGGAGCCTCAAGAAAGAGGGGAGAGGAGAGAAAACTCAGAGAAGCAGTTCAGGGAGCTGCCAGGGGCAGAGGACATGTGCTCCCAAGTCAAAGACCCCCTGCATGTGAGAGCGTGCGCGCACACGCACAACACATACACACAACACACAGCACATACACAGCACATACACAACACACAACACATACACAGACACAACACACAGCACACAGCACATACACACACACAACACATACACAACACACACAGCACACAGACCACACACACCACACACATACACACACACTGCACATACACAACACACAACACATACACAGACACAACACACACAGCACACACACACCACACACACCACACAAACAACACACACAGCACACACAACACATACCACATAGACACAACATTCATTACACCACACACATAAACACACACCACAAACACAACACACACAACACACACAGACCACAAACACACAACACACATCACAACACAACATATATAACATACACCACACACATAACACACATACTATACACCACACACAAGTCATATAAACACAGCACACACATACTCCACAAGAAATTCCAAATCTAGGAACAATAGAAAGACCCTAAAAGTGTCCAGAAAGGAAAAACAGGTCTACAGAGATCTGGGAATAATCACAGCACTGAACTTCTCAGACAACACTGGGAGCCACGTAAAAGTGGAACGATGACTTTGAAAATTATTTCCAACCTAAAATGTATACCCAGCTCAACTATCTCTACAGACTAGGGCAGAAGAGAGATTTCAGACATGTACGGACTTGAAGAGACGAGGAAGGGAAAGACAGGATGCAGCACAAGAGAGCGAGGAACGGAGCTCTCAGGACGATGGCGAGAAATCCCAGGAGCGACACCCCTGAGGCTAGGAAAGCAGCTGCCCGCACGATTCAGGGGACAGAAAGCTCCAGGAGATCTGACTCAAGATGAATGTTCACCAGAATAAGAGGACTTCCTCCCCAGCACCCTTTTCCATCTTGGGAGTGTATGGGTGTCAGCTAGCCAAGGGGTGGACTGCATCTGCCATGTTTGTTTGTTTGCTTTTAATGTTAACAAACACCTATATCCCCATCTCCTGGTGTGTGAGTTTTGCAAGAGCCAAGGGGTACACCCTTTTAGGGTCTGCCATCCATACCTACGCCTTCTGGCATACTTGTTATTAATATTTTTAACCCTCACCGGAGGACATTTTTTCCATTGCTTTTCAGAGAGAGTGGAAAGGAGAGAGAGAGAAAAGGGAAACATCAATGCAAGAGAGCCACATCGATCAGTTGCCTTCCTCACTAGCCCTGACTGGGGCTGGGGATCAAGCCTGCAACTGAGGTACGTGCCCTTGGCCAGAATCGAACCCGGTACCCTTCAGTCCACGGGCCAACACTCTAACCACTGAGCCAAACCGGCCAGGGCACCTGTTATTTTTGTCTGCCTAGTTTGCTCTCTCTCTTATCCTGCTAACAACATTACAGGTTTCTTGGGGAAGCCGCCTTCCCATCTCCCTCTGGCCCCGTGTAAAATTAGGAAGCCAACCTCACCCATTAGCTTCAGGGAAGAGCGCAGGACCCAGCCCCACCGATCAGACTCACACATGACCTAAGCCAGTTCGGCAGGACTCCACCCTAGGACTTATATGGGAAAAGTGATGTGTTCTCTGATGACAGGATTTAAGATGGTGAAATATAGTCCCCAAGGAGCTGGGTGTGACACTGGCACAGAGAAGAGAGAACAGCAGACAGACCCCTAAAGCCAGAGTCCTGATGGCACCCAGTGAACAGGACCTGGGACCAGCCCACCTAAAGGCTCTGTCATTTTCAGTTATACGAGCCAATAAATAGTTTATGCTCAAGCCACCAGAGTTGGATTTTAGGGACCAAAGGAATCCATGCTGATACATTAAGAAATGAGAAGGGGGTGCCAGGGAGGGTACCCAGAAAGGGGAGCATCCCACCTCGGACCACAGTGCCTGGGTAGAGGCATCGGTACTGCTGGCTCCAGTATGCTGCTATCCTGGTCCCTTGCGGCAAGAAGCGCGTGGAGGCCGGCCTCACGTCGATGATCTAATGAGAAGGCCAAGGACTAAGCACCAGGCAGTGACCAGGACCAGCCCAGCCCCGCACCCTACCACCCTCCTTCCCCTCCCCTCCCCAGCCCCTCACCGCCTCCTGCAGCAGCTGTTCTAGGCAGTAGATATGGGGCCGGTTCCCGCGTTCCCCCTCCACCACCACTCGGTATCTGCAAGGCCAGGGCAAGAGTGGATGGGCTGGCAGAGGCTGGGATCCCCTCAGAGGACCCCCCACATGGACCCCTGCACCCCAGCCTCCTGGCCCTGCCAGCACCAGCGCCACCTCCCAGGTCACCGAGACAGGACATTAGAGCTGAAGGGTTTGCTGACTTGCTGTATAAACTTGGGGCCAAGTCTCTCCCCTGTTGGCCTCAGTTTCCTCATTTGTACAATGTACAACTAGGAGTTCAGACCCAAGAGAGGCCAGCACACTCTCTCCTGCCCCTCCCTGCTGAGCCCCAGTGACCCCTCAGAGAGCACTGTCCTCCCAGTGCCAGGCAGGCACTATTCCATCGGCCTGGTTCTATGGGGGAAGCTGCTCAGAGAGGGGAAGCCACCCAAGGCCCAGCAGATGCCCGGATACGATACTGAGTGAGGGTCTTCAGGCTCTGAGCCCTGTGCTCCCCAGCCCCCAGCCCCCAGGCCCCACTCACATATCTGGCGAGTGCACGGTCTGCACATGACCGGCGTACAGCAGCTTGTCGTCCATGGGGATGAGCACACGCAGGCCATCCTTCAGCTCATCCTTGTCGATGATGCAGGAGCGTGGGGCTGCAGGAGGGGGCAATGAGGCAGGGCTGGGGACCCTCCCTCTCTCCTGGGCCTCCCTTCTCTCAGGCCTGCCCAGCGCCCTCCAGAACAGGTGCCTGGGGGAGGCTGCGGGGCACGTACATCACATCCATGTACCCAGACAGGCCTAGTGCAGGGACAGGCATGAGTGCACTCACATGCACATGTGGGGATCACGTCTGGAAAGGTCCCAGGTGGGTGCAAACCAGGTGACAGCCTACACATGCTGCCCTTCCCCCATCCCAAAAACCACCACCCTCTGAGGCCACAGGCACTTCCCCAGGTGACCCTCCTGCATCCCCATGTTCCAGGCCTGAGCCTACACAGCATCGCGGGTACTCACCCGGAGTTAGTGGCCGCTCCACAGCCCCACCACGAGGCAAGTGCTCATCCTCGGAGAAGCTCGAGTCCTGGTTGGGTTCAAAGTCCTCCTCAGCAGCCATGCTCTCCATCAGCTTGCTCACAGCTCCCCCTTTCCCCCGGTTCTGGGGAAAGAGCACGGCAGACAACGGCTTAGGACACGGCTCGCACACCCTGCCCGGCCAGGGACCCTCCCCGGAAACGCAGGGTCAGGCAGGCCACAGTGGCGTCTGCCAGGTATGCAGTATGGGTCCCACATGGGCTCACCCCAGAGGCCGGGGCCTGCACGTGGCTCAGTGCTGATGCTTAGTACTCAGCACTGTACCCGTGCTCATCACCAAGGCAGGCGCTCAGTGCCCTTCTTGGAGAAACTGAGGCAGCCTCTGCAGCCACGTGCAACGGATTTGAGGAGAAAAAGCCTGGCTGGGGCTGGCTGGAATCTGGGGCGGGCGTACCCTGGCACAACCCATCTGTCTACTGGGTAAAGAAATGCACCCAAGCCTGGGGGAACCCCTGGGGACCGACCCGCTGGGCACAGAGAGCCTCACCTCCTTCCTCACCTCCTTCCCTTTGGCCTTGGCCTTGCTCCTCTTGGCAGAGGCAGGGGAGCTGGTGTGAGGGGCCCGGGCCTCGGCGGGCAGGGCCGGTGTGCGGGGTGGAGGCAGCGCCACTCCTGACCCTGCCTCCTTCCCCTTCTTCTTCTGGGGAGGAAGCAACAGAGGCACTGTCGGAGGCGGGGAAGGCCCGAGAGGAACCGCAGGCTCGCTCCTCACCCCTCCTCACCGCAGGACTTTCAGTTTCCGTCCTAACTGTCTTAGGACTATGAGACCGGGGGGGGGGCCACATGAAAGTGGGTTTACAGCTGTGACTACGTGAAATAGTTTACTAATCACTGTATTATTTCCCAAGTGAACTATAAGCCTACTTTTGCCCCACCCTGCATATTACTTGTGTAGAGAGATGACAGCACTGAGGTGTATATACGGCACGTCTGTGTGTACGAGCCCCTCCAGTGATCCTGTTAAAGTGGAGGTCACCAGCGCCCACTGGGAGCAGCAGCCTGGTGAGCTCTTCCAGAACCTTGCACAAGCACAGGCACCCATGTGAACACAAGGGCTGTGCAGACAGTCTTTTTTTAAACACAGTGGTTTTTATAAACACAGATGGGAATTTACCAAAAGTCCCATTTTGCAACACCCCCATCAGTATGCCTGATAAACGCTAAGGGAGCTGCTTTCTATTTTAACAGCTGCCCAACATGCCACAGTGTGGGGATCCACAACTCAACCACCCCAATGGTGCCTCCGTTTTTTCACCCTTCCTAGTGGTGCCAGAGGAGAGACAGGGCCGGCTAGTTCTCCAGGCCTGTTCCTGGAAAGAGCAGCTGCTGTCCAGGTCACCTCCAGGAGGCGCGTGCTGCTTTCCACTCACCCTGGAGAGGGGGGTGCCACACCAGCCCAGCTCAATGCCCCCCAGCTGGTAAAACGGGTGGGACCCTCCTGGAGGTGGAGTGGAGATGGTGCAAGTGCAGGCGGACTGTGTAAGGCCTGCCTCTCAGAGCCAAGAACTGGGAGCAACCTGACATCTAGCCAGTTCCAGAAACGCTGGTGCATCCAGAGACGCAGCCCCAGCTTTGTCACGGTGGCAGAGCCTTGTTCCGAGGAGATGTACCATTGGGAATCAGAAG